CCAGGCGGTGCTGGTGGCAGCAGAGCCCGGCGGGTCCCGCTCGGTTCCATCCTGGCGCAGGATTTCTCCCGGCTGGCAGAACCCGTTTCCATAACGACTTTCTGTTACAAACATATTTTGATAAAAATAAAGTTAAAGCGGCGAGGCTTTAGTGGAGTACAAATTCGCTGCTCTCGCCCTCCCCCTTCCTCCTCCCCGAGGAGGGGGAATAAAGATGGAAAGCTTTCCATTTGAAGGGCAGTATTTTCTCCCTTCTTTTTCTTTCCCCACTGAATACAAAATGGAAAACCTTGTTTACCGGGGATTCGCTGTAAACCGGTTCCGACTCTGCCTGGTTACCTGATGCTCTACAGTATGTACAGGATAATGTGATAAATTCATTTCCAATTCACTGCATTATCCTTTGAATATTTTAATGACTCATTGAATGGAGTAAAAAAAAAAAAAAAGAGAGAAAAAAAAGCTATTTCAAATGAACAATTATGCTGCATTAGAGTAAAGGCTGATTATATTTAAACACTGCTTCCATGGATAACGGGACATATCGACCTCCGCCTATAAGAGCTAATTTGGCTCTTATCTCTAAATAATTTTACACTGCAAATTACCATGAAAACCTAAAGGGCTTTAAAAACATTCATCAAAAGATATTATTCCACTTTGTAGCAACATTTTTATTTAAATTATTTTGAATAGGAGTGAAAGCATCTCTCGTGTTTGACAATCGGAGCGGCGACGGAGCAGCGGCTGATAAGGAACGGCGAGCGGCGCCCAAGGGATGGGATGGTTCCATCCCAAAAATCCACCTGGGAGAGCAAATCCCAGCCAAACCCCAAAGTTGGTGGCATGCCAAAGTACTGCAGCACCCAGGAGTGGCATTTGGTGCTGCTGGAGCTGCCTCCCTCCAAACTGGGGGATGGCAAAGCCTGGGTGATGCCGGAGGGATGCCAGGGCAATACGCAAGGGATGCTGGGGGAGGCTGGGGTGGCACCCAAGGGATGGTGAGGTAGTACCCAAAGCATGCCAGGGTTGTACCCAAAGGATGCTGGGGTGGTACCCAAGAGATGCCAGGGTAGTACTCAAAGGATGCCAGGGTGGTACCCAAGGGATGCTGGGGTGGTAGCCAAGGGATGCTGGGTGGTAGCCAAGGGATGCTGGGTGGTACCCAAGAGATGCCAGGGTGACATCCAAGGGATGCTGGGGTGACACCCAAGAGATTCTGGGGTGGCACCCAAGGAATGCTAGGGTGGTACCAAAGGGATGCTGGGGTGATACACAAGAGATGCTGGAGTGGTACCCAAAGGGATGCTGGGGTGGTATCCAAGGGATGCTGGGGTGATACCCAAGGGATGCCAGAGTGATACCAAAGGGATGCTGGGTGATACCCAAGGGATGCTGGGGTGGTACCCAAGAGATGCTGGGGCAGTATCCAAGGGACACTGGGGTGACACTCAAGGGATGCTGGGGTGGCACCCAAGGTGTGCTGGGCTGATACTCAAGAGATGCCAAGGTGGTACCAAAGAGAGGCCAGGGTGGTACCAAAGGGATGCCAGGGCTGATACCCAAGAGATGCTGGAGTGATGTTGGGAAAATGTCCAAGTGATGCTGGGGGGAGGCTGGGGTGACACCCAAGTGATTCCTGGGGGATGCTGGGGCAAAGCCAGGGCAATTCCCAGGTGATGCTGGGTGATACTGGGGTGATGCTGGGGGGACGGCCCCCAGCTGGATGGTATTGAGGTGATACCCAAGGGATGCTGGGTGATACTGGGGTGATACCCAAGGGATGCTGGGTGATACTGGAGTGATGTTGGGCAATGCTGGGTGATGCTGGGGTGATATCCTCATGGTGCTGGGCAACATTGGGGTGACACTGGGGTGGTATCCAAGCACTTCTGGGTGATACTGGAGTGATGCTGGATGATACTGGGGTGATACTGGGGTGATACTGGGGTGATACTGGGGTGATACTGGGGTGATGCTGGGGAAGTCCCAAGCACTGCTGGGTGATGCTGAGTGATACTGGGATGGTACCCAAGCACTACTGGGTGATAGTGGGGTGGTACCAAACACTCTGGGCAATACTGAGATGACACTGGGTGATACTGGGGTGATGCTGGGGGATACTGGAGTGGTACCCAAGCACTGCTGGGCACCCTGGAGTGACACTGGGTGATACTGGCATGACACTGGGCAATGGTGAGGTGACAGTGGCGACACTAGGGTGACAGTGGGTGATGCTGGGGTGACGCTGGGTGATACTGGGGTGACACTGGGTGATACTGGGATCACGCTGGGTGACACTGGGGTGATGCTGGGCGACACTGGGGTGACACTGGGTGATACTGAGATCACGCTGGGTGATACTGGGGTGACACTGGGCAACACTGGGTGATACTGGGGTGACACTGGGTGATACTGAGATCACGCTGGGTGATACTGGTGTGACACTGGGCGACGCTGGGGTGGCACTGGGCGATGCTGGGGTGACACTGGGTGCTACTGGGGTGATACTGGGCGCTACTGGGGTCACTCTGGGTGATACTGGGTGATACTGGGGTGATGCCGGCTCGGTGCTGGGGTGACACGGGGCAACGTTGGGGTGACACTGGGTGATACTGGGGTGATGCCGGCTCGGTGCTGGGGTGACACTGGGCAACG